ATATATATATATATATATATATATATATATATATAATATACACAATAATCATTTGTTAATAAAAGACAATTAATAACAATTAGGTAATTAATAGCAATTAAACAAGTAACAAGAATAATAATACTACTACTACTACTACTACTACTAATAATAATAATAATAATAATAATAATAATAATAATAATAGTAATCTCAATTATTCATAAATAAACGGGACATTACATCGCCGTCTAAGCTGAGCAACCCCGTTCATCGCCGAGAGCCCCAAATAGCCCGTTTTCCACGTCCGTTTACCGGGCAGCAGCCCGGAATTTTTCGGCCGCCTACGTGGGATGCCCGTCGAGCGAGCCGAGTCCAAGCGTGGTGGAGGTTTTATTTTCAGTTCGTTCGTACATTCACTACCAACGAGTGTGTAGATTTCTTAAGGAGGTAATCGGCCAAACCTTCTATTTTATTTATGCTCGTGTTGAACTCGTTGGATTGAATTCATGTTCGTTGAATCGAAATCGTTGGTTACGGTTGGATCATTATTCGGCTTTTTTCGTTTTGTTGTGTGTTGTTGCCTAGTGGATTTATCGTGGAATCAGAACTCTCTTTTTGTGTTGAATTGTTGTTGATTCAATCCATTATTTGTTGAGTTTATTACTGAGGTGTTATAGAGTAAATTCGAGCTTTGATTTTTCATCCGAGTCCTTGTCTCGTGATTGTCGTTCGTTTAAGAGTTGGTCTTGGAAAACCCTATTTTTGACCCTTGTATTGATAGATGTTCGTCGTTGTTTTTCACTTCTGAAACTCAGTCGAATGATTTCGAACTCTTCATGTGATTTGTAGTTCGGTCTCTTGTGTTTCCTCTGGAACAAGATTCAAGGAAACAACAATTTCGTGCTGAGAGTTATTGCCAAAATACGATGGTTGTGCGTCCAATTTTTCTGGATTTTCGATATTGCATGTAGGGCTTGTTTGGCAATCAACTGTTAGCGGGTAGCTGTTAGCATATTTTATTAGCAGTTTTGACCAGCTGATTAGATTAGCTGTTTTGACTAGCTTGTACAATAGCGGATTATTACAAAAAGTGTTTGGTAAATTAGTCTTCTGATATTTGTTATGAATATAATCACTTATAATTATGTTTGTGTATTTTGATATTTTTAGCAATTATAATTATTTTAGAAACTATATTTTATGTATATTATTAATAAACATTAAAAATAGTGATTAAACAACAATGAATATTTAAGGTTACAATTTCTATACAATGTTTATCCAAAATTGTTTATAATTTTTTTATCACAAAAAAAAAAAAAAATGATTGAAATAATGGACAACACTATAAAATTGGTTAACTTAATTATTCTTCTCCGGGCCATCATTTGTCTCCTTATATTTCCTTTTTTTTTTCTCCTGCGTCATTATTTGTCTTCTTTTATTTTTATTTTTTTCTCCTACCATCTCAACTTAATTATTCTATTTGAGTGAATAATTGTACAACAAGTATATATAATTGAGAAGAAGCTAACTTGAAACGCTGTAAATTGCAGCGGTTGTAAAATCAGCTTTTTTTCCCAAAAAGCCATTTTAAAAGGCTGATTTACCAAACAATTTTTTTAGCTGTTTTAGATGATCAAACAGCTAAAATGGTTTCAAACAACTAAAAGCTAGACAAAAAGCCATTTACCAAACAAAGTCCTAGTCTTTTTTCGTTGCGGTTTCTGAGTACTGTGACTTTGTCGTATCTTTTTGGAGTCTTCGTATAAATTGTAGTTTAATGTGTTATATTTCTTGTGGAAAAATAAACTGGTGTTTATCATTTTTATATTAAAAATTATGTTGAAAATTCGATCATTGCAAAGTCAGTTTTTCATTTTAATCGCAGAAGTATGAGTCTGTCATTTTTGCTGTTTTTGGCCTACTTCGGGTGACCTGGGAATGTTGATGTTT